TATATATATATATATATATATATATATATTTATATTTATTTGGTGCAAGATGTTTGACAAGGAACCAGTAAATACTTCACTAAGAGTAAGACAGAAGAATAGAAAAAGAATCACTACCAAGAGGGAAAAGAGAAAGAGGAACCATGGTGGTATACCCGAGGAGAGGAGGAATATTACTAATAAAGGAGAAGAGAGACTGAAGAATGAATGGGAAGATGAATGAGCAGAGCACTGAGTAAGAGAGGCATCTTTCAAAAGGAATCCTGATGGCAGAGCCACACATGCTTATAGATGCTATAAATCAGGGATTCTCAACCCATGGGTCACAACCCAAATGGGTCGCGGCAAGTTCTGAAAGTGTTTAATGGCAGAGTTGGAAATGAAAACATTTTAAAACCAGCAAGCTCCTATGCTGATCCACAATCAGATTTCCCAGCCTCAATCCTAGAATTAACCCATATAAACAGGTCTTGGGTCTGCAGCTGCTTAGTGCAAAATTGGTGAACACTCAACCTATCTATGAAGTCAAACCTCAGATGCTTATTTTAAAATTTCCCATATGAAGCTGTAAAATATAGAAATTGACTTAAAATGTCTAATAAGTTACCAAAATACAAATAAATCCACAAGAGAAGCACAACTCATGTTAAAATTACACACCACTCTGTCAACACCATAAAAGTCAAAGTGCTTATGGTGTTCTGGGGGGCTCTGTTCTCTCCCATATTTGGGCACAAGAACCAAAATTATTGCTGTGGCAAAGAAATAAGCCACACATACATCACAGCAGGAATACCCTTGATCCTTCACAACACAGAGGAAAAAGCTGTTTCCCTGTCAGTGCTTTCAAAGCAATCTTTAACATTTAAAACAACACATTAGCAAAGATCTACCAATTCTAAATTAGCATGATGGGTCTATAAAAGTCGCATGAGGAAAGACAGATGGGACAGTACAGTACAGTGGGGGAATAGCTGAGGAAGATGTCTTCAGTGTAGCACTGAGCTGGGTGACCACCAGGTCACATGCTCGGGGTTTTCCTATGACTCATTTCCTGTCACTTGTCATGCTGCCTTCTGTGGCTGATGGCGTCTTAGCATTTTTCAAGTAGCTGAAATACCTGACCAAGTCCACCATGTGTCTTGTTCATGCCCGGGGATAAGATGATCTCACAAATACTATGTACATTTTTCACAAATATTTATTTTTGACAAATTATTCCAGCAGATTATTTAAAGGTTAGTGGGCCACCCCCCCCCCGTGACCCATGGCCCTGGGATAACATGCACATGTGAAAATAATATTTATTTCAGAGAGTTAAGTCAACACACTTTAAAACAACCATTCTCCATTTATTTTTTGCATTAGCTTCATTTTAACAGCTACATGAATAAAGGTACACAAAGCTGGTGTTTTAGCTCTTTCTCTCCCTGTGCAGCAATATCAACAGGAAAGTTGTCACATTAAAAAAAAAAAAGAAAAAGCAAATGTAATTTTATGTTTCTGTTTTTCTGATGTTTTCCTGCACATTATCTTCATAAAATAAACAATGTACAAAAAACCCCGAAATACCACTACGTAAAATACACAGAAAAAATGCAACATTAAGGGTATCAATACAGTCACACTAGCACATTCAAACACTCAACAAACTCAGTACTTTGATTCTAACAAAGAGAAGTAAAAGTGCTCATGTTGATTAAACTGTTCATGTCTCATTCAATCGTAACAATATGAAATTAGATAAGAAGTTGCATGAGTTCAGTGGCTCATTAAACAATATAGAAAACAAGGGGTGCATTTCTTTTAACCACACATAGCAAAGCATTAAAATGGGAACTTCATCCAAAGTACTTTTGTAATTTCTCTTTGAACAGAGGTGTCTCTGCTTTTTCCTTAGTATTAGTTAGTTTTGATACTGCTGCTAACATTTACCTAAAAGATGCATTCTGTGGTTTTGTTACCACAGCAGTGAGAAGACCATAGATGTCCTACTTTCTAACGCTGAATATGCTATATGTAGAGCATAACGTATGTTCTATGTACAGAAGTTTCACAAATCATTCTTTGTAAAATGTGCATTTTTGTATGTAAAAGTCAAATATCAATGCACTTTAAATTTGAAAAATACTTTTATTGTTAAATTAGACATTCAAGTAGAAAGCATCGTAATATTATTCAAAGTTTATAGTGGATGATTTTCATTGATAGCCCACATTTTAAATATTGATTGATAGTGCAAGACATTAATCAACTAAAACATAGGAACTCAAAAACAGAAAAAAAACTCATTGAGCAATCCCTGAGAAATGGCCCTGTGGAGGACAAGACTTGGATGTGTGCTGGGGGACGGTTCTGGGTTCACAGCTCTGGCTGTGGCTTCAATTGTTGGCTCTCAGTCCACAGGGACCCCTTCTTCCTCTTAATTTCAGCGGACTGGCGGTGTAGCATGTGAGACAGGACTACAGTCACGATGATCAAGATAACCACAAGGACCCCAAACACAACCAGGATCACTGCAGAGGAGCTGGGGCCAGACCGTACTGCGTCGGGTCCTAAAAAAAAAACAAACAGACAACTGATAGTGTCTCCCTGATCACCGTAAGGGGAGAGATCAGACTTCACAAACTGTTTATGTCTTAAGAGCCTGTAATTTATCACTATGCATTCAAATATACAGACTTTTGGGTCAAGATGCCACTAACATATCCTCAAACACACATAGTTAGACATATGGACACATCCTCCTGGTGCAGGCTGCCATTCCTGAACTTGCTGGCATCTGAATGCTCTGCAGTAGCGGCTGTAAATGTGAATACTGTGCCTTGTGGATGAGTATAGATTACATCTAGTTTTTTCTGGGTTCAGCAGGTTGAAGCTGCAACTGACTTGCATTATGGGCTGTGGTGCCCTGTCCTCATCCGCCTCCACCATCTTGTCATCTCTAAGACACATTTGTTTCTTGGCCATGAGGTAACATGGCAGGGTATCATAATACTTGCTCCTTTTTCAAGGATTCAGGGTTTTTTTTGTTCTTTTTTTGTCACATTCAAGGTATACAGTCAGACTGTAACCTGCAGTGAAATGCAAGATGGTGAACTTTGCCATATTAAACAGTCAAAGCAAAAAAGACATGAAAAAATAACAATATTACAAGTAGTGATAAAGTTAACTTGCCGAAGCAGAAAAGGTGATCGTGACTGGAGACTCAACTCTTAGAAACGTTAGAGTTTCTATCATTCGACATCAAAGTGAAATTGGACTCCCTCTCCTGCAATGAAGTCTCCACTTTGGTTGTTCATGCTGGAACTAATGATATAAAGTCCTGACAATCTGAGGTATTAATGAGGAGCTTGATTTCTATGTGTGCAAAAGCTAAAACAAAATATAGTACTCTAATTGTCTCTGGTCCTTTATCAATTCTCTATAGGGGGATGTAACCTATAGCAGGCTACTCTCCCTAAACCGCTGTTAGATACTTGGGATGAGTTTCCTGAAGCCTTCTTAATGCTAAATAGTTTGTAAGTTCTATGTGAAAATATCGAACTTACAAACAATGTAGAGCAGAGGTCACTAACAGGCGGACCGCGGTCCAGTTCCGGACCCAGAAGCAGTCCCATACGGACCCGAACAGATAGCCAAAATAGAAAGTTGTGATTTAAAAGCTGATGGGGCGCTTCTATTTTATCCGGCGCAGCTTTAGTAGTCTTTTCGGTAGTGGTTTAGCACTATAACCGCCGTTTCCCTCATCAATGAACATCAAATGCCTTTGACCGCCAAGCAAGACGTAGTTCGGCATATGCAGCCCTTTGTCTGCGCTAATGTGCCATTAGTGTTAACAGCAGAAATTTTTTTTCTGAAGTTAAGCACCTTATTTAAACATGCATAATTTTCACATTTTATTTATTTTCTCTTATTTTGAAATGCAGCCCTACTTTTATTTAGTAAATGAGAGAACATTATACATATCGGCAGTCATACATATTCAATTCGTCAGTTGTCACGTGACAATAAATATCGTCATAAAGTTTTTGAATTGTACTGAATTAATTTGATTTGACAGTTAGGTATTGACTATATGCAATTTTGATACAACTAATAAGCTACTTAATTATATATCACACTAAATATTTAGACATTATGATCTTCTGGACCTTCAAGAAATTTTCTCTAACTGGACCTCTTTAAATTTTACTTGAATACCCCTGATGTAGAGGTAAGAAGGCTTCGGGAAAATCACCCTTGGTATGCATCTCAAAACATAGCCTTTATTGATAATTGGGACCTGTTTTGAGAACGGCTTGGCTTTTATAAATCGGACGGTCTTCATCCTAATTGAATTTATATTATCCCAAAACATGGCAAGTAAATTACCTGCCTGAATGGGAGCACCACCCAGGCCTCAGTTTTGCAATCTTAAATCAAAGACTGTTTATTCTCCCACCTTTAGATCATGTTCGGCTTTGACCCAGGTGCTCCATCACAGGGCATCCTCTAAATCTAGCGACTATGAAGAAACAGAGTTGAGTGAGCCTAGATAGAATAAACTAAATATTATTAGACCAAGACTTAGGCGTAAATGTTCCACTGGGGGTTCACTTTCATAAGATTAAATGAGCCACAACACCACCATAAAATGCTCATTATTAGATGTTTGCTCTTTAGCAAACAAATCACTTCCTGTCAATGACATGGTGCTTGACCTGTGCGGTGCTGTGATTTTTAATAGAAGCCTGGCTCAGACCCACAAACACTATTCCTTTTGTTGAAACCTCAAATGAAGGCTTTAGTTCTGTCATAGACATGGAGGTGGCCTGGCAGCTATTTTTAGCTCACTGTTAGAAATTGAACACAAAACTTTACAACATTTGAAGCAGCACAAATTCAAATGATGTCTGACCTGCCCATCTATATTCTTATAATATACAGACCACCGGGATCATACACATTGTTTCTGACTGAATTTGGGGAACTTCTCTCTGACTTGGTTATTAACTTAGACAATATTTTTGATACTTGGAAATTTCAATATACACGTAGACATAGAGACTGATACCTTCAGCAAAAGTTTCCTGTCCCTCCTGTTGAATGTTACCAACATGTATCGGGACCAACGCATGTTCACAATCATACACTAGACTTGATTATCACTCACAGAGTTTATGTTCATCATGTATCCATGGTCCATTAAATAAGTCCTTCTCTAACTATTTGCTAACTTAAATCTGAGGTCGGGTTGTATGGAATGGTGTTGAAGTGCTTTAAATCTTATTTGACTAATCAATATCAATATATTCAAGTTTCAAATGATTGTACTCCTTCGTCTATGTCATTAGTCAAATATGGAGTGTCACAGAGATCAGTGCTTGGTCTTTTTTTAAAAATTTTCTCTACATGCTGCCATTAGGTAATATAATGAGGAAACATAATGTTAACTATGAGTCCCATGCCGACGACACCCAAATATACATTTTGGTTATGCATAACAACACCTCATCTATTGACATTTTAGCTAAGTGCTTCAATGAAGTCAAGATTCGGATGGCTGAAAACTTTTTATTACTAAACAATCAGAAAACTGAGGTACTCTTGTTCGGTGGCAAGTCCATGGATAGGAATGCTATAATCTCTGCACTCCACTCCAGGGGGCTGAATTTTTCCCTTAGCAGCTCTACCCATATCCTAGGCATCACCTTAGATACAAACCTCTCATTAAAATTGCATGTGGATACAGTATTAAAGGTATGCTTCCTACAGCTACGCAACATCGCCAAACTACACTGATTTCTTACTATTCAAGACAGGGAAATTGATAGATGGCTTTGTATACAGTAGGTTAGACTACTGTAATGCTATGTTGATCTGGGAGCAAACACTGCACATTAAACACTTTGAGGTATATTCAAAATGCAGCAGGTCGAATTGTCACCAGAAGCAGGAAGTTTGAACACATAACCCCTGTTCTTAGTTCCTTGCATTGGCTTCCTGTTAGGTTCAGGACTGACTTCAAAGTTCTCCTACTTACATATAAGGCACTTAAAGGTGTACCATCCGCCTACCTGACAATTACTTAAAGTTTGCAAGCCGCATTGAACACTCAGATCACACAATGTAAGTTTCCTTGTCATTCACCATATAAACAAAGTGACAGTTGGCAGTAAAGCATTTTGTTACATGGCCCCAATATTGTGGAATTGTTTATCTGCCTATGTTTGGGATACCAATTTGGTCTCAGTCTTTACATCTCGACTGAAGACCTGTTACTTAGGTTTAGCTAACCCGCAACCTAACACATAACACACTGGCATAGACAATGGCTGCTGTACACACTGTTTTTATATACTATGCTTGTTCATTAATGTGCCAATATATGTTCTGACCATCCATTCTTTCTGCCTTCCCACATATCCGGATAGTGCATATCAATATATTTCGAGTGGTGGGTGCTTTGTTATTCATGTATCCAATCAGGAAGTGCATATTTTGAAAAATGAAAAATTATCTCTGTTGTTCTTTTAATGGCATTATGATCAGGAAATAAAATGAATAGAAACTTTAATATTTACACTAAGGTGGCTCTTGTGTTTTACATCCTAGGTATCAGCCCATGATCTCTCAGTATTTCAACACATACAATTTATATACATCTTCCTATTAGATTGTTATTTAAAATGTATGAAAATTTAAATATGAAAAGAAGATGAAGACAAATCGATGTTGTGCTACTACCAGCCATCATGTACACTTTAACACTGGTGTTTATGTACTATAATACCTCAGACCAGTATAATCTCTGACCATCACCATATTACGTTTAATATTTACCTTGCTCAAAATATTAACTCCTCGACTCGCTTCTATGCCAAACATGCAATCACATCAAATACAGCAAGTAACTTTATTGATAATCTCCCTGAGCTATCGTTTTTGTCAAAAGTAATGTTGAATCCCACTGAACTTGATAGCACTATGGATTGTTTAGCGTCTACGCTTAGTTCAACCTTAGATAAAATTGCTCCGTTAAAAATAAAAAAGATCAGAGAAAATAAAACTGCTCCTTGGTATAATGACTATAAACTGCTCCTTGTGTACTTTGAAACAGGAGACATGGAAATTACAACGTAAGTGGCGTCAAAATAAGCTAGTGGTGTACGAACTAGCATGGAAAGAGGCTATGGGTAGCTATAAAAAGGCTCTTAGTGCCGTTAAATCAGAGTATTTATATCAGCTAATTGAAATAAACAAAAATAATCCAGTGATGACTTTATGCAATTTTTTGACCAAAAAATATGTTCAATTAGACAGAACATTTTGACTATTACAATAACTACATTCTCTGGCCTTGACACAGCCTGTGTTAATGCTGCAACCATCATATTTGAATCATTTACCATGGTTAACCAATCAGAATTGATGTCCTTAATCTTATCTTAAAATTCATCTACTTGTATGCTAGACCCTGTTCCAACAAAATTATTCAAAGAGATGATCCCAGCAGTGATTGAACCGCTACTAGCAATAGTTAACACCTCAATCAGTATTGGCCATCTACCAAAATCTCTTAAACCATCAGTAAGTAAACCTCTATTGAAGAAGCCAAACTTGGATCCCTTGGAAATTAGAAACTATGGACCAATTTCTAATCTACTATTTATCTCTAAAACAATAGAGAGAGTTGTAGCTAGTCAAGTACTGTAATCTCTTTTCTGCAGGAGAATCAGATTTATGAAAGATTTCAGTCTGGGTTTAGAGGTCATCATAGCACAGTAACTGCTCTACTGGAGGTGGTAAATGATCTTCTCCTATCTGCTGACCAAGGCTGTCCCTCGCTCTTAGTGCTGCTTGATCTTAATGCAGCTTTTGATACTATAAATCAGGGGTGTCAAACTCATTTTAGTTCAGGGGCCACATACAGCACAATTTGATCTCATCTGGGCCAGACCAGTAAAATAATAGCATAACAACCTACACATAACAAGAACTCTATAATTTTCTGTTTGTTTTATTGTAAAGAACTACAAATAAGTGAAAGTACAAGTAAGAAAATGTTTAAATTTAATTAACCATCTTTTTACAAAACATTATGAACAACCTGAAATTTCATTGGAAAAATAAGTGCAATTTCAAAAACATTATGCCACAGTGGATCTACAAAGACACAAAACATAGTAACAGGTATCTGAAATGAAGAATAGTAAAACACATTATGATTAAAACAACTTGTCAAGATCTAGAAATTATTTTAAATTTACACTTTCACATCAGTGTAGTGCATTGAAACTTGCTTCAAACACACCAAGCACACAGGTATTCCATTCAGCTCTGTGAATAAACAATTAATGAATAATTAAATCAGTTTTTCTTGGAAAACTCTGCACTCACTGTCCACTTTTCTCTTCTTTGACAAAGACATTTTGGGTAACAAGAGTGCCAAGTATGGTAATTTTGACAACAAAGGCGCACATACAATACATCAAAATATATGGCAAAATTGGCGCTTTTAGAACAACTCAGCTCCAGATATGTATTACCAGTTTGCCGGTTGCTTCAGCATGAACAATTTGCTAGCTTGACAATGTTGGTGCCATCTTCAGTGTTGTATTGCAGTAAAATCCCGTTATAGTGGACTCGCTTATAACGGAATATCATCTATAACGGATGAGATCCGCTGGTCCCGACTGTGCGCCTTTAAGAACATGCAGAAAATGCACCGCATATAGCAGACTCACTTAAAACAGAGTTTCGCTTATAACGTACAAACAATTCGGTCCCCAGGGCCGCTCTTGGCTTGAGTTTTGTTCGGCTATGTATTTTTCACACTTTGCAAAATCTAATTTCGTGGGCCGTATTGGACCCTATGGCGGGCCAGTTCTGACCCGCAGGCCGTATGTTTGACACCCCTGCTATAGATCATGCCATTCCCCTAGACAGGCTTGGACATACTGTAGGCATAAGGGGAGTGTCGCTCTCTGGGTTTAAATCTTACCTATCGGACCGCTATCAGTATATGAATTTAAATAGTGATTCCACAGAACATGTCATGGTCAAATATGGAGTGCCACAAGGTTCAGTTTTAGATCCCCTACTATTTTCACTATACATGTTACCTTTAGGCTCAGTTATTCGTAAGCATGGAGTTAGCCTTCATTGCTTTGAAGATGATACACAATTATATATATCGGCTAAACCAGAAGATAGACAGCAACTTCAGAGAAAAGAAGAATGTTTAATTCACATCAAAAAGCAGATGTCAAACAACTTTCTCCAGTTAAATCTAGACAAGACTGAGGTTCTTCTTACTGGCACTAAAGCCACCAGAAGTACACTATCTGACATCATAGTCAATCTGGATGAACTATCTATTGCACTAAGTACTGTTGTTAAAAACCTTGGTGTTATTCTAGATTCAGATTTTTCGTTTGATGTACATGCTTCTAACATTAGCTGTACTGCCTTCCTTCACCTGTGTAATATTGCCAAATTAAGAAACATGCTATCCTTTCAAGATGCAGAGAAACTGGTTCATGCGTTTATTACCTCCAGGCTCGATTACTGTAATGTCTTATTCTTGTTCTTTGTTGACTACAAAATAATACTCTTAATTTATAAAGCTTTAAATGGTCTTGCACCTCAGTATGTGAGTGACCTCATTTGCAACTACATTCCGACTTGTACGCTTCAGTCGCAAGATGCAGGTCTTCTATTCATACCTCGAATAAAGAACGTTACTTTTAGGGGAAGAGCATTTGCTCAAAAAGCATTACAGTTATGGAATAAACTTCCTATTAGTTTTCGGAACTCAGAAACAATCTCTGCTTATAAGTCAAGGCTTAAGACTAACCTCTTTAGTCAGTCTTTCGGATATTAAAATCCCCTTTTTTATGGTGAATGGGAGATCTGGAGGTTCACGGTCATTTGAGAGTAAAGGTCATCCTGCCACTCTTGCCAATCACTTAAGTTGTTGACGGTAGTTTGGCTTGACACCAAAACCCCTAGAAACCCTCATGTCTGTGCTTCCTTCCAGGTCTCTCTTTTAGCCAGTACTGCCGGGGGTTAGGTTAGGTGTAGGGCAATAACTGTCTTCTCCATCTTCTCTTTTCCGAGCTGATCCCGAGCAGATCCTGACCTGACACTACACCTTCTGAACCCTCACCTGGACTCCTTGGTGATAATTACATGGAATAAACTGGGACTTTTAAAACTATATGGACTGGAAATAGACATAGAGACAGATAGTTGTAGCCAGCAGACAGTGATGAGCAATACAGTGATGCGGAAAACATCAAGTAAGAGAAAGCAGAATGGAGGGAACTGGGAAGCTTCCGAAACCTGGTTTGAAGATGAGATTTGGAGACTGGGAGAGAGACACAGAGTTACAGATATCAGACGCAAGGGAATTCCAGAGACGAGGAGGCACCCTGGAGAAGCTGCGGAGTCGGGAAGGAGGAACAATGAGGAGCCCAGAAGAGGAAGATGTAAGAGCATGAGGGGGCTGGTGGGACAACTGGAGGTCAAACAGACAGGGGAAGCAAGATTATTAAGAGCTGTATAGGTAAAGAGAAGAGTTTTGAAATGGAATCTAATGTGTCCGTTCAAGGTGAATGACTGGGCAACACCTACTGAATGAATGAACAAAGACATACCTGTTGACTCCACGCTGACTCTGGTGACTCCTGACTCATCAGAGGCCTTCAGCAGCAAGGTGCTTTCTGGGCCTAGTTGGTGCTCTTCCACCCAGCAGGAGTAGTTACCACTGTCATTAACTCTGGCTTTCTGGATGGTCAGCCTGAAGGTGTCGAGGGCTGTTCGATAGAAAGACATCCCTTGTGGTACTACAGTTGCAGGGTCCAGTTCACCTCGAGGTCCAAATTTTGCTAGCACCAATGTGTCTGAAGAGTTGACTTCATTGAAGTTCCAGGTGATGGAATAGTGAGACAAAGATGTGGTACTGCCAGAACCCAAGGTGCAGTTGATAGTCACAGGGTGGTTTTCTGCTACTGAGATCTCAATGTTGTTTTTCATCAGTCTGAATTCACTTTCTGATGGAAGAAATGAATGTTTTAGAGTAAGTAGTTAGAAAATCAGCAAAAAGAACAGGTGATTCTGAGTGTGAAATTACTTTGACACAGAAAAAAAGACATTTGAGTGAATTTGTTATTCTTTAAAAAATGGGAAGACCTAACAAGTAACTTGGACCAATCCATTTAACAGGCAGACCTTAAAATCAGAATGAGTATTGCAAGATTGTTTTACTGCCAGCTGCTTATAATCTCAACAATAAATTTATATTTATTACTTCTGGCACTCAGGTTAAGGTCAAAGTTCTAAAGCACATTTAAAACAATCAAAGACCAAAGTGCTGAACAGTCAAAAATCAAACATGAATAGATACAGCAATCTGAAATTTTATGAAATGCAGAAACTAATAAAATGTATTAAATAGGGGTGTAACAATACATTGATTTGTATCGATACATCGATTCAACGGCAAAAGATCCAATGCATCGATGTGACCGCATAAATATTGATACATGCATTTTTATTTTCTCGCCTGTTCCAGTATTGTTTTCATGATCCACTCCGACGTATACATGGTCTACACCAGGGGTGCCCAATAGCTCGATCGCGAACTACTGGTCAATTGCAAAGGTAGTGTGGGTAGATCGTATGGTATAAAAAAAAAAGGATGGATGACATGTTCAACCGCGCCAGCTGCTGCAAACTACAGAGTTGCCTAGTTAGCCTCCAATTTATTTCAACTAAACTTAAGAAAGGGTATAAAAATGAATGGGGGAGCTGAACCAAGTAAGAAGCCAAAAACCTACCACTTCCATACGGAATGGGAGGAGGACTGTTTTTTTTCCACCATGTCATATTCTAAGTGCATTTGCCTCATCTGTCAGTCTACCATTGCTGTTCCAAAGAAGGGAAATGTGGAGAGGCATTTTCGGACTGTTCATAAAAACTACAACATTAACTTCCCTCCAAAAAGCGAGCTGAGAAATAGAAAGGTGAAGGAACTAAAATCCCAGTTCAATTCAAAAATACCACCTAAAGTCCCAAAGGGAAATTAATAATAATAATAATAATAGTAATAATAATAAAGACTATTAAAGAATACTCAATATTTTTATATAAAAATATATGTTTTGCATTTTTAGAGTAGGTAGATCATTTATAAGTAGGTCGCAAGCTAGCGTACCTTCAGAGCGTGCGTTCCCAGATAGCAAAATTCTTCTGGCCCAGATTAAAAATGCCGACAGTCAGCCAGAATCGCTCGCCGTGCTCAGAACGGTTCTGGCCCAGATGAAAAATGCCGACAGTAAGCCAGAATCACTTGCCGTGCTCGGCCCACAATCGGCCCGCAATCTTTTAGCCGTTGCTGACAGTGAACCGAATGTGCCACAACTCAGCCAGAATCGGCCCACATGTGCCTGCTAACTGGGCAGCAGTGCCGGCTTGACGCAAGATCTGGGTCAGACCTGTCTTCTATGTGCCTGGGCCACATTGACAAAACCACAATCGGGCCACATCTGGCATGCCATAATGTAAACAGTGCCATCATTGCCAGAC